AGGGTAACCCTCGTGAAGGTAACCCTTTTGAGGGTAACTGACCCTCGTAACCCTCGTGAGGGTTACGAGGGTAAGTAACCCTCGTGAGGGTTACGAGGGTAAGTAACCCTCGTGAGGGTAACCCTCGTGAAGGTAACCCTTTTGAGGGTAACTAACCCTCGTAACCCTAACCCTCGTGAGGGTTACGAGGGCAAGTAACCCTCGTGATCCTCGTGAGGGCAACCCTCATGAGATTAACCCTCGTAACCCTCGTAACCCTCACGAGGGTTACGAGGGTCGCGGTTACGCCGACGCCGACGCCGACGCCGACGCCGCTCAAGCCGGGAACGGGCCCCTAAGAGCTGCGCTCTAAAAAGGAAAAAAATACAGTGTAGTGTGGACGATTGAGCAAAATTTACGCTCGCAACGTGATAAAATGGCGGTTGTGACGTAAATTGTTTTACGCATCGGCATGTAAAAAAAAACAGAAAAAAACAGCAGTATGCCAGTGGATTTTTGCAGAACAGAACCAAAGCCAATGCTTGGGAAGAGTTGCCAACTCATCGCGTTTTCGACAGTGAACACGTTGCGATAGCGGTCATGCGTACCGCAGAGCAGGCATATATAAAATGATTAACAAACCGTATTTTTCCCACGGCGAAATATCGTGCAAGTAGGAAACAACATATATCGCCATGTGACACAAATGACTGTGCATTTTATTCGGTTTTCCCTTTATTTTACAACACAAACCTTTGAACGCACTTCTACCAAACCTGATAATTTCTTGAAGCGACCACAAAACCCGTTAAAACAGCGGCGAGTTCGGCCAGCTGTTTCTCCGTCGGTTAGGCTTAGCGGAATCACCACCGCGGGATTTATGATCTCGTTAAAGCACTTGGAATACTTCACACGTCCACTTTTCCTGTTACGGTCCGAAGCAAATGTCGTCCCGTCCGTTGTAATCCTCGCACCGTCGAATGCACAAGCACTTTGTAGAATCACATATCAATCGCCGTCTCGCTGGACCCCTTACACCGCCACAGACCACTGCTGGCCATTGCCAACAAAACCACGTGATCCCCGTCCAAGTACCACGTGACACCTGCACCGCTCCGCACTCCGACGGCTACAGACGGAGTGCCAGAGAGCGCTCTGAGAGGGAGAGGCGCCCTGTGAATGAACCAGACGATCAGGCCATAGCACTTTCATTCAACCCCCCGATCTCGCGCACTCTGGAAAGAGCGCTCGAGAGCGCGAAAAAAGAACCACGCGAATTTGCAATAAGAGTCAAAACATCCGCGAGCGCGTCACCGCGTAAACTATGAGCGGGAGCATCATCGGCCGCTCGAGCGCGTGCCAATCCAGGTGCTGCATCACTAGGGGCCATCCCCAGAGGCCTAAGGTGGGGCTGCTCGGGAAACTGGCTCAGGGCCGGTAGATAACCGGAACGTTGTGGTAACCGGGGACCTGTAAGGAACAAAATCCACCGAAAGATACGTCAATGCTGTCGCTGGCTTACGTTGTTTCCAGAGTTGCCACTTTGGGCTTGTCGAGTACAGTCCCGACAAAAATGGCCGACATTTCCGCAGAGGAAATGCCGGAGCCTATTTGCAGGGCACTAGGGTACCGCTCCCCGGTTGGCAATTTTTGAGAAAGAACGATGTCGGTCATTTTCGGTCCAAGTTCGACTACTCGTGCTCGCCTTGCTCTCACGAGCACGGGCCAGTCTGGCGTGACACTGGATTCTCTTTAATCTCTCGGTCCCACAGTGTGTATGTCCTATCCTCAAGCGGCACAGCAGAAACTCCGCACTGTGTTCCTTGTAAAAAGTGCCCTCCCAGATTGGCAACGTTAGCTTACTAACAAGAGTTCGTTGTCACATTGCGTGTCCTACCCTAATTGCCATGGCATAAAAAGTGATTTATTTAAAAGTGGTTTCACATCTTAGTGGGATAAACCACGCGTTGTTATTATAGTCTGTGTCAGGTTAAGACTAAAATGAAATCCCTCCAACCCCTTTTCACTTTAGCAAATCGAGCGCTGGAAAGGAGGTCGCGTCCTCTCCAGAATTCGCTCTGCTAAAGTGGAATAAGGTAGGACGAGCTTTTCCTGTACTCTTAAGCAGTCACCGCATACAGTGATTTTTTGGAAGCTGCAGCCAATCAATCTGCTTCCTCATTCCCTGGAATCCCAACGTGACTTGGCACCCGACAAATTTTTATGCCACATTCAAGAAATGCGTGGATCTGGCATTTCTTGGATGTGGCATTTAAAGCTCAATTTATTTTACCTCATACATGTTGAGTAAAAATATTCTTTGTAGGAAGTCATGAGGAAACGGCGATTAACCCACTTTGTGAAACGACCAAGAAAATAGCTTTCCTAAGATTGTTTTCCAGTTTGTGTTGTAGCGGCTAGTAAGATGCCATAGAGCTACGCGGTAAAAATGCTTGCTACACAGTGAAGCTTTATAGCTTTTTGTGATTGAACCAGACTATAACACACAGCCAACAAAGGACTGGGTGGAGACCAAAGAAATCCATAGTAGAAGAATGACAGAGGACTACGTCTCAAGCTCAGCATAGAGTGAGGCGTATCCTATGTCATTCTGTTAATTTTTCTTCCCATTTGTATTTTTTGCATTTTCTAACCAGCCTTATGTGGATCAGTTCTCTTAAGCATCCCAAAGCAATGGCCATGATCAGGTTTAACTGACCAAATGGAAGTCCCTGATACGGCACAATATCAGTATCCGCCAGCAGCCCAACTCCCACCAACCGATCTGTGCCAATGACGACATCAGTTGTCGTCTCTGACTTGAGAGAGGCGTGCTTTTTTAATACCCTATTGAAATTTTTGTGTTAAAGAGAGATTGCATCGTATTTCTGCACAGATACACTCTAAAAGGTTGAGATCATCCTAATGTCACATGACTTCTTGGAGGACTTCCCTTTTCCTTCACCAATTGGAGTAGAACTTCGGGCTGGAGCATTTTTATGATCACCTCATCTACTTCGCTTCAAAGGCGATCAAGTTTTGTAGGAGGAAGTGTTGGAACGCTGAGTGAACAGCAAATGTAATTACCGTAAACACAGTGGCCTAATTTTTGTCACTTCTGGAATCCGCCTACAGAAAGGAGTTATGCATGATCGCAGGACCTAAATGACATCTTTGTTACAGTATTTATATTACACCGCCGCATTAATGCCATATTGCCTATAGAAGGCTCATGCTAAATAAGGATGATAATTCAAAGTTTCGCAAGCAATGTTCGAAGGCAGAAGAACACTGGAGAGTGACTCCTGCCAACGAGATGGTGACATGCAGTGAGACAAATTTCACACGTTAGTGAATCTGAAACCAGCAAATATGCTCGAAAAACGTCGCTGTTAATATATATATATATATATATATATATATATATACAATACATTTGTTTTCCAGTATATTAAAAAAAAGAAAAAAAATGAAAGCCGTGTACAAATCCCTGTAACGCCGAATTGGAGTGAAGCTCTTGAGGAGGAGTAGGGAAGGGTACTGAGGGGGTCACGTCACCTGCGGGTAGTCACGTGACCCCGGGGGGGGTCACGTGATCTCGGGGGGGGGGGGGGGGGGTCACGTGACCTTGGAGGGGGGGTCACGTGACCTCCGGAGGGGGGACCTCGGGGGGAGTCACGTGACCTCGAGGGGGGTCACGTGACCTTGGGGGAGTCACGTGACCCCCCCCCCCCCCCCGGTTACGCCGACGCCGACGCCGCTCAGGCTGGATACGGGCCCCTAAGAGCTGCGCTCTAAAACCGAGGACGCTGTGATTTGGTGCATTACATGATGGCCATCCCACGCAGTAGCGAAGACTGAGCGGCAGGTCTGGTGCGAAGCTATCCAAAGAGGAGGCTGTTCAACACCACCGGTCGCTCATCGGACGGCGGTTCCAGCTCTGGAGATCTCAAGACAGTCAAGCCACCTACTAAATGCAAGTTACATGAATTTAATTGAAATTCTCTTGAGTTTCTTTTTATATAGCGCCTCATTGCTCGCAATAATAGCATCACCTCATGTTATACTTGGCTAAAATTTTACAAAACAATGACGTAGTGAATTATACACATCATAAATGAGGTTCTTTGGAGGATCGATGGGGCCAATCGTGTTAGAGCAGCGGAAGTCGCAGCATGTGGAGCGAAAGTTCGGGCTATAGAACCTAGATATCCTCGGTTTAATTTCCACCCATATCTGACTACTTCTTTTATGTGTCAGTACTGTGGCGCATGGAAACAATTTAAAATTTGCAGCATAAAGTAATATTGCCGTACCTCACGGTACGACGTTCTTCATGCTTTCTAAACATTAATGTTTATTTGCTTTGCCTTCGAGGTCAGCCTTTTGTAGGTGTACGTTTTTTTCCCTATTGTAGGACGTAATTTAATTTTATCGTAGGATGTAATGTAAGTAAGTTTAAAATGTTACACAGGTATCTTCATTCGCCATTCTTGGTTGCATTCATTTGTTGTGTATCAACTGAATTGAATTATTTCTCTTGGTGACAATATCCTGGAAATTATGCATGTCTATTGTACAGTCTATTTTGAAGTAGCTTTGTAAGGAACCTTCTAAGCACTGCTATGTGTCGGATCGTAATAATGCAGTCAAGATACAAACTATTTTGTATTTTGTTGTTTGATCACTTATTTTATTATTTTCAGGTATTCTTCACATAACATATAGAAACAAAAATCCCGATGTTTCGGCGCCAACACGGTCTCTTTGTCACGGCTGACTGTGAAGTGGACGGTGTCTGTTCGAATTCCAGCCCGTGGGTCCGCGTGAAAATGAGGCCGAAATAGGAACTCAATAATGCTAATCATATAAGAAAATCTGCCTTGTTCTTTTAGAGATTTTAAACATTGTTCGTGAAGTTGACTGTGCTCGAGACGAAAAATATTTTATTTTCCTTTATTTTCTCTAGGATATTATGTCAAACTTTGATGAACAACGGGCTTGCTTTTCGGCCAGTACTACTAGACATTTCCGGACAATATCCTTGACTTCAGCTCCTGCCTCAGAATCTTCCCGTTTTCTGACTTTGGTAGAGATTTCATAAAAACCACGCCGCCGTAGAGATACTTGAAGGTCGCTGTTTGACCTGCAAACAACACAGTAACATTTCACCAAAAAGAATACTGAAAGAGCGTTCGGCTGAAAATATCTGCAGCTACCAAACGGGTGGAAAGTGTTATTCAATAACTCCTCTTTCCGCACATCGTTTGTCTCAGAGTATTTTACTCGTACTTCTCATGCTATACAAAAATAAAATTGACCCCTATAAAAGAGGCTCCTCTCAACGGGGTCAAATCTTGAGTGAACTTTGCCGCCCTTCTAGGCACCGCTAAAGTAAGGGACGATTGTTTATTTGTTTATTGTTTATTGAAATAACCCCACAGCGCCCGTGAGGGCATTATAGCGGGGGAGGGGCAAATACAAAATGAACATGACGCCAAAGAACTCTTAAATTGCCTAAACAGTCAAAACTCAAAATGTGACTTACCAGGAGAAATCAACATGAAAATAAAGACAAACGTAAACCCAAACCAGCGTAAAACTAGACACTGCACTCGTGAATATATATAGAAAAAGCTGAAGTTTGTAGAAATAACAGGTTTTAAGAATCTGACAATGCCTGATAAAATTGATAGCTTACGCTTGTTGAGACGATCTCTTCAGGTAAATTGTTCCAGTTGAGTATTGTACAAGGAAAAAATGAGTATTTGTAAATGTCTGTTCTGCTGGAAAAAGGCCTAATTTTTCTGCTATGATCCAGGCGCCGAGAGATAAAGTGAGGTGGAAGTAAATAACGCATTTTGTCAATTCCACACTGATCGTAATATATGCTGTGAAGGAGTTTCAGGCGGAAGCATTTACGACGATTCAGTAGAGGCTGCCAGTTAAGATCGCGTTTCATGGCAGTTACACTTTGACCACGCGAGTATGCATTAAGGACAAATCTGGCGGCTCTGTTTTGTATCAGTTCTATACTATTTATCAGGTACTGCTGGTGGGGATCCCAAACTTCTGAAGCGTACTCTAGAATGGGCCGAATATTTGTGAGATACAGGGTGTTTTTGACCTCTTTAGGTGAATTTTTGAAATTACGTTTGATGAAGCCTAGCATCCGATTAGCTTTAGCAGTCATATACTCAATGTGAAAGCGCCATGACAAATCGTGGGAAAAGTAAACGCCTAAATATTTTACTTGTGGTGACATGTTGATGGGAATGTCGTTAATCTGGTACATGGTGGTGATAGGGTTACACTTTCTAGTTACACGGACAAAGTGACATTTGTTAACGTTCAAATCCATTCCCCAAGTACTGCACCAGTTTGCTATGCGGTCAAGGTCGGCCTGCAGAGTGATACAATCGTTGACCGAACTTACTGCTCGATAAATTATACAATCGTCAGCATACAGGCTTATACTAGAAAAAACGTCTACA